CTCGTGTCTTCTTCTGTATCTTCTGGGTTGGTGCCACCTAAAGTAGTTGAGATACGAAAATGGAAGAACGTTCTCTCCTGAGATCCAAAATTTGTAGAAAACCAAAAAAAGGGATCAAAAAACCCATCAACCCAACCTTGAGTCAAGTTTTAATCCCTCAAACCATCCTGACCTCGTGTCTTCTCCTCTATCTTCTGGGTTGGTGCCACCTAAAGTAGTTGAGATATGAAAATGAAAGTAGAACGTGCTCCTGAGATACAAAATTTGGTGGAAACCAAAAAAACGGATCCAAAAACCCATCAACCCAACCTTGAGTCAAGTTTTAATCCCTCAGAACTTCCTGACCTCGTGTCTTCTTCTGTATCTTCTGGTTTGGTGGCACCTAAAGTAGTTGAGATATGAAAATGGAAGAACGTTCTCTCCTGAGATCCAAAATTTGGAGAAAACCAAAAATGTTGATCCCAAAACCCATCAACCCAACCTTGAGTCAAGTTTTAATCCCTCAAACCATCCTGACCTCGTGCCTTCTTCTGTATCTTCTGGTTTGGTGGCTACTAAAGTAGTTGAGATATGAAAATGAAAGAACGTTTGCTTCTGAGATCCAAAATTTGGAGAAAACCAAAAAACCTGATCCAAAAATCCATCAACCCCACCTTGAGTCAAGTTTTAATCCCTCAGAACTTCCTGACCTCGTGTCTTCTCCTGTATCTTCTGGTTTGGTGCCACCTAAAGTAGTTGAGATATGAAAATGAAAGAACGTTTGCTCCTGAGATCCAAAATTTGGAGAAAACCAAAAATGTTGATCCAAAAACCCATCAACCCAACCTTGAGTCAAGTTTTAATCCCTCAGAACTTCCTGAGCTCGTGTCTTCTTCTGTATCTTCTGGTTTGGTGGCACCTAAAGTAGTTGAGATATGAAAATGAAAGAACGTTCTCTCCTGAGATCCAAAATTTGGAGAAAACCAAAAATGTTAATCCCAAAACCCATCAACCCCACCTCAAAACAACTTTTTAGTCCCTCAAACCATCCTGACCTCGTGTCTTCTCCTGTATCTTCTGGGTTGGTGGCACCTAAAGTAGTTGAGATATGAAAATGAAAGTAGAACGTGCTCCTGAGATCCAAAATTTGGAGAAAACCAAAAATGTTGATCTCAAAACCCATCAACCCAACCTTGAGTCAAGGTTTTAATCCCTCAGAACTTCCTGACCTCGTGTCTTCTCCTGTATCTTCTGGTTTGGTGCCACCAAAAGTAGTTGAGATACGAAAATGGAAGAACGTTTGCTCCTGAGATCCAAAATTTGGAGAAAACCAAAAATGTTGATCCAAAAACCTATCAACCCCACCTCAAATCAACTTTTTAGTCCCTCAGAACTTCCTGATCTTGTGCCTTCTTCTGTATCTTCTGGTTTGGTGGCTACTAAAGTAGTTGAGATACGAAAATGGAAGAACGTTTGCTCCTGAGATCCATAATTTGGAGAAAACCAAAAAAACTGATCCCAAAACCCATCAACCCCACCTCAAATCAACTTTTTAGTCCCTCAGACCTTCCTGACCTCGTGTCTTCTTCTCTCCCCCCCACCTCCACCCAAAAACCAGAAGACCTCACCTTGGACCCCGACTCGGCCAACCACCTCCTGATCCTCTCGGCCGACCTCAAGACCGTCCGCATGGGCTGCCGCAAGCAGGACCTGCCCGACCACCCCAAACGCTTCGACACCAACTCGCGCGTCCTGGCCACCGCCGGCTTCTCCTCGGGGCGCCACCACTGGGAGGTGGAGGTGGGACCTTCGGACGGTTGGGCCTTCGGGGTGGCCAAGGAGTCCATCCGGAGGAAGGGCTTGACCCAGTTCTCCCCCGAGGAGGGCATCTGGGCGCTGCAGCAGAACGGGGGACGCTACTGGGCCGTGACGTCGCCCCAGCGGACGCCGCTGAGCCTCG